CAACGGGTAAAATACGAAAATAAACAAAGTAATTGGAGAGTAAATACTCGTCAAAATAAAATGTAATAAGTGATTTTGTTTACCTCAAATGTTATTCTTGCACTGCCTTTGCTCCACTTTGTGTACATTTGCTTCCAAATGAGATCAATTTCGGATTTCAAAAAGGGTTCACGTGAACCAAACAACTGATTTTAAGAGGCCCCGAAAATTAAAAATAAGGTTAGATTTTTGGATTTTTAGAAATAGTACAGTAAATTTAAACTTTCTGTCTCAGGATTTTTTATTTTTTAACTAAAACTCGACTTACAGTCAAAAGAAGAGCTAAAAACGCATTGTTTTAACTTTAGATACCGATAATTCATAATCGCGGCCATATTTAAAAAATCCCTAAGACAGAAATCTGCGGAAATCGTTCCTCTTCCAAACAAGCCCTCAATGAGGTAATTTGAGCGATTTTTGGGAATGGTTAAAATACCATGTTTGCACGCATGCTGTGCCACTTGGATATGGGGACCTGGATTTTATAACAGCGTCAACAAGAATTCTGACCTTCAAGGTCACCCACGATGACGGCAGTAGGTTCGTTACATGTTACATATCCACAATAAAATCACGGCATAGATGTAATGTTTTGAAAACGGTTCATATTTATGGAAAGGTGGATTTTTCCTGTTCCGTGGTTCCCAAGTAAAAAAGGGCTTGAAGTAGCCGGTTGTAGCGGCTTTACTGTAAATGACCGCGGGTAACCCCAGATCGAACGCCCGCTCTATTCGAATGACGTCATATCGAACAAGATTCGCGGGTTCGGGGGATTCGATCTCCATAGTAGCGGAGTGGGACTTTGGGCCCAAATCTGACCATCGTGAAAGCACAGTGACTTTTGTATTTTCTTCCACATCCTACATGCCGAATATACGTATACGGCAAATTACGTAGTGAATATATATCGGTGGTAACAATGAAGGATTAACTATTCTCTATGTAGTCTCTAAGTATGATTAAAACATTCTTACATGTATTTTACTATCTGAACACTGTATTGGTTTTCTCCCCTGAGAATGTATTTATCTATAGGATCTCACGCACTGAAATCAGTGGCACAAGCGGAAGAACAGCTATAGGCACTTATCATTGTAGAGTGTACAATCCATTGTAATATTGTGCTCATCTACAATCATGTTTGGACAAAATGGGCAGAACATTTGGTCATTTAATGTTTTTTAGTATCGACCCATTTCAATGTTTAATTAGTGACAACTAAATCTGCGGATATCCAGATTGTGTATACTTTAGAGGTATTGTTTTTGTCCATAATTTTCCTTTGATGCAGCATTAACAGAGAGGTTTTCGTTGTTACTAATAGAATCATACCATTTTTGTAGAAGACGGGATCGTAATTGGTTGATTATCGTATTCACTTGGTATGACCCGGGTTTTTCCAAAGCCAATATAGTTTAGAATGTCACTATAGTTTAGAATTTCAGCATCTATTATTATCGAATGATTCCTAATCCTCCGCGAACGCCATCATTTGATGTTTTTGTATTAACTCTTAGTAAACATCTTCGGAAATTCATGTCGATGGCATCGAATTCTGGGTTATGTTGAAATATGTATTGTGTATGAAGTGGAACGTAGATACAAACTAGAGTTCCACGATCTCATACCTTCGCCAAATGATGTTAGCCTTTATGACTAAGAAATAATAGATTAATCCCCCTGATTGTGCAAATAGGATCCTATATTGCATCAATTATATCTGCTATTCATACATTTGTATTCTATACCAGAAGACAGTCTTATCTTATCAATGCATGCCATTATAGCATGTCCTCATAAATTATGCAAATGAGGTCCTTATTTGAGTTAAGTTATGTTTAATTATGTTCACCTTCACATAACTTTCAAATATCCCAAGTATGAAATACCAGACATTACCAATATGTAATTATAACATTTTCTCATTAATTATGCAAATTAAGTCTTCATTTGCATAATCAATATCTGCCTGTATTTCTGACGTTCTGAATTACATATGTCACAAGCTAGAATAGTCCTATCATGGAATGCAGCTGATTTATAGAATTTCCTCGTTAATTATGCAAATTACATTAATATTTGCATAATTGTAATATTATTATGTCATGCATCACTTCAGCTACCTACATGCCAAAACTCACGACGATCCATCAATCGGTTCTTGAATTATCCGCCCTTAAACAGTTTTCAACTAACACCCCTGCAGTTCTAGAGCAAGCAGCTAGGGGGCCCAAACTCACGTCACTTCTTCCCTTTTACAAGAGCTACCTACCATCCAAATTTCGTCAGCCTAGCATGTCTAGATCACGAGATATCAAAACCGGAAGTTCAGCTGCAGTACCATAACAAGCCGTTAGGGGGCCCAAAATCTAATCAGTTCCACGTCTCATCAAGACCTACCCACCTACCAAATATCAAGACAATCCATCCAGGCGTTCTCGAGTTATCGTGCTCACACACACACACACACACACACACGAACGCCTCTAGAAAACATAACCTTCTTGGCGAAGGTAATAATGCAAATATACGCATAATTAAGGAAATCCATACCTTTACATTGTTTTGTTTCAGGCAGTACTGCAGGTCAATGCGTGGATCCTGGTGTGCCGACCAATGGGTACAGGGACAACAGTAACTTTAGATCAGGACAGACAGTCAGGTACACCTGTATGGACGGGTATCAGCTGTGGGGGACTGCTAATATAACCTGCCAGCCGAACGGGACTTGGAGTGGTGATACACCAATTTGTGGAGGTAATATCGTAAGTAAAGAGTAATAATTTTCACGTTAGGGTTAGAATTTCTGGTTTACTATATTTACACGTCCACCTGTGATCGTCATGTTCAAAGTGACATTTTTCATGTCTTAAGGCCCGGTCACACTGGCCGAACTTTGCTGGAGCGTTCCTTTAACGGTAGGGACGGGGTCCGAATTTCGACAACGCTCGTCACCGCGCCCAAAATGTGGGGAAAAAAATAAAAACACGGGCGTTGACTTAGCGGTGTACCGCTGAAGCCGACGTTGCTTTAGCGTTGGTTTAGCGGTAGCGAACATTGGTATAGCGGTGACGCAAGCGTTGGTATAGCGGCGTTCTGCGCATGCGGTTTAGCGGCATACCGCTTGTGACTACGGAGTTGAACGGATCGTTTTGTAGTAGTACAAGTTCTGTTCTGTGTGTGGGGGGACTTATAGCTTTAATAAACATCATTTTGTTAATCTATTCTTCACTACGTTATTTTATTAATAATGAAAATAAAACTTTGCAGATTGCAAAGTTCCCCTGTGACCCCAATAAAGTGATTGTCCGTGTGACCCTTCTTTGAACATTTTACGTGTGGCCCCAAAATAATTGCACACTAGTGCACCAATCATAGCAAGTCTCTCAGCATCCAGGGTGATACAGTTTTACTGTAACTTCGAGCAAATTCGATATAGATGAGGCCTGAACTCAACGGCAGCTCGATTCCAATGAGCACCTGGTCCATTCCTCACCGTACTTATAGCCAAATTCTGGTCCCGCTCCGACACCTCTATACCAACGCCAAACCAAAGTTCATTGCCGACATGGATCGCTGCTTCAACGCCTGACATCGTTCCAGCAACCCCGTGTCCGCTCGTAAAACGCTTGCAACCGCTCCAGCGAAGTTTGTGCAACGTTTGTGCAACGTTTAATCGCCGCCCGGGAAACGCTGGCGAAGCAGCGGTGGTCAAGCGTTCAAGATTTCTGCGTTGGCCTAGCGGACCCAAGCGTCCACGAACTTGCGTCTAGCGATGCCAAACTTTGACTGGGCGGGGGTGAACTTTGCCGGAGCGGAAAATTTCCCCCTCCTCACCGCTCGCAATATTTTGTGCAGCTCAAAACTTTCGGAGCGGTAGGAGGGCCCCTCCAGAAACGTCAGCGGTGGCCGGGTGTACACGGCGTTGCTTTAACGGGGGCCAACTTCTGTTTAGCGGTGGTGAGCGGTTTCGAGCGGTGATCAATTTTATTCACCGTTCAAGCAACGCTCCAGCAAAGTTCCGCCAGTGTGACCGGGCCTTTAAAACCCTACCTAGACCGGGCTTTTTTTGACATGGGGGGACCGG